CCCCAAAACCCCAAAACCCCAAAACCCCAAAACCCCAAAACCCCATAATATTATAAAATTTTTGAAATGGAATCAAAACCCTCAATTTTTATGAAGCGAACTAAAAGAGACTTACGCAAATTCCATCATGGGTATCAGCAAATCTAGTGATATTTAGGAAGATAGATATGGACATAGACTTCATAAAGTCGTGAGTCGGGACCAAAAACTACCTAATCCTGGACCTAATCGAACAAAACTGCTTATGGGATGAACTCACCGGTACTCTTAATCTAACCCCTCCTAGACGCCACCTTCTGGCTCGAACTTCTCAACCTAATAACCCTCAAAGACCTCTCTACACCCACCAAAATCTCAAATTCCCTCGACCCTGAACGCCTAAAAACCATCCACACCCTACTATCAAAAATCCTAAAAACCCTGCTTAAAACCCGCTTAGAGGACTTCAGCCTGAACTTACTCAAACTGTATAAATAAATCCAAGCTGTTCCACCACATTGACCTCCTTCTTCAGATTTTTGAGTTTTTGTTAAGGAACGGAAATGTAAGTTTTAAAGAAAATTTTGGGATTTTGGTCGTGAATTTTGGGATTTTGGGAATTTTGGAAATTTTGGAAATTTTTTGGGATTTTAGGAAGCTGAGAAGTTTGTGAAGGAAGTCATGAGAGGATTGGGGTGGAAGAAGGAAGATGATTTGTTTGTGAAGTTGCTTTGATTGAGGTTCAGCAGAAGGAATCGGATTCTAGGCGAGTTTGAACTGTCTTTTAGTAATGGGAAAACCCGAAATTGGGGTGGAACTGTGAAGCAGATAGATGAAGTTTATCATAAAGTTGAGGAGTTTTATCGGAATAATAGGAGAGAGAGTGTAAAATAGGAAAAATGAACTTGAATGTAGGTTTGGAGATTATTTTAGATTTAACACATCTCGAGGATTTTCTAGAGCCTGATGACCCTTTTGAGCAGAAGATAGGCTCTATTGAAGACAACAAACAGAAATTGCATGATGCGCTTCTTGAGAAATTTTGAGAAAATCGTTTCATGATCCAGAACTTGCTTAAGGAAAATAAAAAGAAGGAAGAAGAGAAAATTCCACAACCTCATTTTATCAGCCAGAAACTGTTCACACCAAATTTTGGTGACAAGCTTAATAAAAAGCCTCTCGGAATGGTTGGAAGCTTCAGGTCTGTCACCCAAGTAGCCAACATGAGACGTTATACAAGCAAGAAAGAAGACAGAAAGAAGTTAAAATAATGGCTTAAACACCTTCGAAAAAAATGCTACATTCAACAAAAAGTACCTCCTCCATTCTCACCCATAGATAACAAGCCAAAGGTGCTTCCGATGAGTTCCACCTCAGAAGCTTCTAAACTAACCTTCCCAATAGCATCACCTTCAGCATGGTCTCAAAAGTTTCAAAGCACTTTTCCCAAACCTTCAAAAACAAGTAAGTAGAGAATCAGTTTCCTGATCCAATATATATAATTTCAACTGAATGGTCCACCCTCGGGGTTTTGGGGTTTTGGGGTTTTGGGGTTTTGGGGTTTTGGGG